CAAATATTGACTTATACATCACCTTAGCCTCCTCCATATCAGTGTTCGAAGCATATTTAATATTAATCTAAGCAATAAATGCTCTATCAATATTTGAGACAGTAAACTGTAATAAAAAGAATAGCTAACATTTATTAAAGTCTTGCTACATGGCATGAATTTTGCTTTCCCTTGCTGGTGCCAATCCATCTTGTTGTTATACCCTGTCACCAGCACTAGATTTTACCTCATATGCCTCCAAGAAGTCCTCCTTGATTAGTCAAGCCAGAAGTAATTCTTCACTTCCTCAGTGATTAATTTGTACCATTAACTTTCTGCTTGTGTTGTAGTTTTTATATAAGTATCTTCTCTTAAATACAATAAGACGTTTGATAGAAGAGACCTTATCTAGTGTAGCTTTATATGATACACAATCTGTAGGACAGTCTCATTTTATAATCACTTCAGGTATTTAGGAAAAGTTACATGTGCTTTTTCAAGATGTGTAGATGAATTCATATTGATGGATAAGTGTTATTTGGGATTATAAATTCCAGAACTCAAAATCTCAGAGTATTTAAAGACAATTACATAGAAGAGAAAAATTATATTAAAAAGTCAATTAAATGCATTATTAAAGACAATATGAATTTACGGTTGAATTGTGTAGCCTTATCTCCAGTCTACCATTGTAACAAACTGGCAACAAAATATTTTTCCTTTGTTAGTGACAAGATTTCTGGGTAGTGCAGTTTCTTTTTGGGCTTTCAGAGTAGCTTTATATTCAAGTAATTATTTTGTGGTCTTGGTGCTTTCAGCTTGATTGTCTGGTGTGGAAAAGACAGCTTGCCTTGGGCTGTTGAAAATGATCTCCATATTGATTTCATACAGGACTGATGCAGGTTTGGAGTGAAAGCCTCCGAAGATAGTGTGCAGCTCACTTCGTAAAGCTAATACTACCTGGAATGGCCAAGTCCTTAACAAAGCTTTCTACTTCTTTTAATGGAGGTTTTAGTTGTATAAAACCCCGTTAGCTCATAAATACCACAGAGAGAGGTAGAACTTAAAGCCACCAACTACATAGACTTAGCTGTGATATTTATAATTTAGCTGAAGAGTTTTAACTAAAACTTTTTTATTTTTATTTTTTTGGGGGGGTTACCAAATTTCTTTATTTGAAGGAATGGTACAAAGAACTTAAGTGGATGTTTTGGTACAACTCATAGAAAAGGTAAAGGAAACCTCAATATGCATGCACTGCCTTGGTGACCAGGGAAGTCACCCCATGGCTATGGGGAAATTAGCCTAAGGCTTAGCTTTCATTATCATTGTCTCCCTGGGTGTGCTTGTCAAAGAGATATTCTGCCAAGCCAGATTGGGGTGCTCCCATTTGTGCAAGTTGGTCACGTGGTCACCCAATTCTTTGATGGATTTCACCTGCTCATTCAGGTAATGTGTCTCAATGAAGTCACACAAATGGGGGTCATTTTTGTCAGTGGCCAGTTTGTGCAGTTCCAGTAGTGGCTGATTCACATTTTTTTCCAAATGTCATGCACACTCCATCATCACATTCAGCCCGCTCTCCCAGTCATCATGGTCTGAAGGTTTACCTGAAACTTTTAAACTTACCTGTGACAAGTAAGGACTAACTCACAGAAATAAAATACAGAGAAAGAAAACTGGAGTGAAGAGGAAGGAAAAGCCAATGAAAAATGCCACATCTGCTTTCACCGAGATTAGACACCTCCATAAAGGCAATGTGGTTGGCTTTTCTCATTCTGTGTGGAGAGAGCCTCACAGCCTCTGTGTTTACATTGGCAGTTGTGAGCGTGCCCTAATGTGGACTCTGCCTCACCAGTCCTAGACTTTTCCCTCATTTGCTTCTCAGAGGCTTCCTCAGGGATTAGGTGGGGTTGGCGAAAACAGAGCTACAAAGAAAGGGTAGTCCATTGTAGCTAAGACTGTTTCATTCAATGATTAGGGCTCCAAAGGAAAACTTGCAGCAGTACTCATTTTTTTTTTTTAAACATGCTTTATTTTTGTTTTGCTTTTATACTTTAAATTTAAAAATAATTATAGACTCACAGGAAGTTGCAAACATACTATATAGAGCTCCTGTGTGACCTTCACCCAATTTCCCCCAATGTTATTATCATACACAGCTATAATTCAATATGAAAACCCAGGAAACTGCCATTGGTACAACTCACCTTATTCAGATTTTACCAGCTTTTATGTGCATTCATGCATGTACGTAGTTCTATGCAGTTTTATCCCATGTATAACACAGATTCATGTAACCACCACCACAATCTAAGTTTGTCTCATCATAACAGGTAAACTTCTTTATTCTGTTCCTTTACATTTGCCCACCACTAACCCCTGGCAACCACAATCCATCTCTACAATCTTGTCATTTCAATTTGTTATTTAAATGCAGCCCAATGTTTACCTACTAACATTGCTCTTTTTCCAAAGCATAGTATTCATGCACTTGGGAAATATTTGGTCTGCCAAACAACAATAATATCAAGTATATGCAGGCACTGAGCTAAGTCCTTTTTTCACTTAATCTTCAAAATAGCCTCTTGAGACTATTTGCTAATGCCTGGGATTAGTTTTAATAAATCACATCACCCTCATGCTTAAAAAACCTCTAATGGTCTGGCCTCGGTGGTTCACCCTTATAATCTCAGCACTTTGGGAGGCTGAGGTGGGTGAATCACCTGAGGTCGGGAGTTCAAGACCAGCCTGACCAACATGGAGAAACCCCATCTCTACTAAAAATACAAAATTAGCCAGGCGTAATGGCACATGCCTGTAATCCCAGCTACTTGGGAGGCTGAGGTAGGCGAATCAATTGTACCCCGAGGGTGGAGAGTGCAGTGAGCTGACATCACGCCATTGCACTCCAGCCTGGGTGACAGAGTGAAACTCCGTCCCCAAAACAAAAACAAACCTCTAGTGGCTCCTCATTTAATTTAGAGGAAACATGAACTCTCACTGTGGCTGCAGAACCCACTCCATTAGCTGACCTTTTGTTTCACTGCATCTCCTACCAACCCCACCCACCTTGCTCTACTCTATTTGCAGTGGTATCCATCTGTCCTTGAACATGCCTAGTCAAGCTGCTTCCTGCCTCAGGACCTCTGTATCTGCTGTTCCTTCTACCTAAAATTCTACAGTCAGATCCATCAATAGCTGGTTCTTTGTCCTCATTAAGTCTTAATTCAACTTTTATCTTCTCAGAGAGACTCTCCCTGTACACTTAATGTAAAAAAACAAAAACCTCTCCATATGGGGTTGCCAAATTTGGCAGACAAAAACACAAGACACCCAGTTAAATTTAAATTTCAGATAAATAATACTATTTTGGTATAAGTACGTCCCATGCAATATTTGGGATATATATATACTAACATTCATTGTTTATCTGAAATTCAGTTTAATTTGTATCCTGCATTTTGTTTGGAAGCTCTTCCTCTAAAGCCACTCTGTTATGTGGTACCCTGCTTAACTGTTTCCATGGGACTTTTCAGCATTAGAAATTCTTTTGTCTGACATCCCTTCCCAACCTTCACCCTCACAATAAGCTCCACGTGGGTGGGACCCCACTGCCTTGTTCACAGCTGCATCCCCAGAGCCTATCATAGTGCCTGGTACATAGTAGGTGCTTAATAAATGTTATAAAGGTAAGAAAAACAAAACAAAAAACTTAGGTTTGTAACACCTCCAAAGGATACTGCTAGCCAGACAAGACTACCCATTTTCCACATTTAGGAGGACGAAAGGGGCATTGTGTTGCTGGCCTTTCAGAAGTCTCCTCTGGTAGAATAAGAAGATCCTAGCTGAGCAGCTTTGGGAGAAGCAAAGTCTGAATGAGCCAAAAGCCTTTTCCATTTGCCTTGCAACAAGCAAATGAAGTCACCAAAGAAAAATGCGCTTGAATGAAAAGAACAAGATTCTCTGTGTGCCGAATCCGATCAAAGGCAGTGCGCATCACCCATCTCATCCACCGCAAACTCCCTGCAACTTAAGGGCTGGCTTTATCGTCAGACTCCGGAAATGCTAGATCCTGATCGTAAGAGACCAGTGCACAGGCAAATAAAGAGAAGGGAGGGGTGGATGGGGATGAAGTCAAGACAGAAGAAATTAAACTCTCATCTTGGACCCAGGGCGCGCAACGGGGCGGGGGCAGACGTGTTCAGCCCTAGAACTCCGCCAGGTTCATCGCTCAGTGTGGACGCTCCGTGTCCCCACGATACCCATCGAGGGCGAATAGTCTCCACTCCAGCGCGCTCCATCGGACCCAGACGACTGCCAGCGCGTCCGGCGGCCAGCGCAGAGCGAGCAGCGTGGGCAACTGTGGCCCGATCCTAGGGAGCAAGCTGGCTTCGGGCCTTACCTAGCTCCACCCGGCTCCTACCGGCCCTCCCACCTGGGAGCTGGAGGATGGTCCCAGGGAGCCACAGGGGGACTGCTGGTCCCCGGAGCCTCCAGCCGGACGCGCCGTGTCGTGTGAGCCGCGTGCCTGCCCAGTTTGGAGGCAGCTGCCCCCGCCGCTGACAGGTGCTGCCCGGAGGGTGCCGGGTGCGGTCCCTGGCGCAGCTGGACGCGCACGCCCCGGTGCGTGCAGCTTCCCGAGCTCGGTCAGCGAGAAGAGGGAGCCAGGGCGCGGCCTGGGGGACGCCAGTGGACTGGAGCCGCTGAGCTTCGAGCGAGAAACTTTGCAGGCGCCGCGGCCGGGATTCAGTGACGGCTCCAGCTCACCCCAGCAGGTGCGGGAGGAAGAGGCGGCGCCGGAGTCCCGAGGCCGGAGTGCCTCGGCGGCGGCGGCGGCCGCTTCTTTCCCCCGAGCTGGCCTGAAGTCGCTGGGCACTCCCAGTTTCTGCTGCTGCGCCCGCCGCCGTCGCCACCGCCACCGCGGGGCCCCGGGAGGAGGCGCAGCCGGAGAGGGCGGAGGAGAACCAGGAGGAGGAGGAGGAGGAGGAGGGGAGAGGAGGAGCAGGGGGTGGAGGATGGAGCCCCGGGCTGCCGCGGCGGGCGAGCCGGAGCCGGCGGCGGCGTCCTCCTCCTTTCAGGCCCGGCTCTGGAAGAACCTGCAGCTGGGAGTGGGCAGGAGCAAGGTCGGCGGGGGTGGGGGCGGGGGCGGGCGCGCGGGGGGTCCGGAGCGCCGCACTGCGGACACCCTGTCGGCCTCCCCGCCACCCCCGGGGGGCACGCGGGGCGCACCTGCCGGCGGGAGTGGTGCAGGCAGCAGGTGGAGCGGCTTCAAGAAGCGAAAGCAAGTGCTGGACCGAGTCTTCTCCTCCTCGCAGCCCAACCTGTGCTGCTCCTCGCCGGAGCCCCTAGAGCCCGGCGGCGCCGCCGGCAGAGCCGAGCAGGGGTCCACGCTGCGTCGCCGGATCCGCGAGCATTTGCTCCCCGCCGGAAAGGGGCCGGTGGCTACCGCAGGAGCAGCGGGAGGGACGCCTCCTGGCGGTCGCTCCCCGGACTCGGCTCCCTCCTCTTCCTCCGCCTCATCCTCCCTGTCCTCCTCGCCCCAGCCGCCGCCGAGGGGGGACCGCGCCCGAGATGAGGGTGCACGGCGTCGGGGCCCCGGGGCGCATTTGTGCCATCAGAAGAGCTCCTCTCTGCCGGGCACCGCTTGCCTGGAGCACCTGCTGGAGCCGCCGCCGCCTCCCGCAGAGCCAGCGCGGAGCCCCGCGGAATCTCGGGCCCCAGAGACAGGCGACGAGCGCGGCAGCAGCCAGGTGAGTGCAGGTGGGCGCGGCCGGAGACCGGGTGCGCGTGGCCACGCCTCCCGCTTCAGGCGGTCACCACCCGGGGAGCGGGGGACCGAGGGCGGGGGGCAGGGGCCGGGACGCGGGAGGGAAAATGCTGTTAATTCTAAGTAGATGAAGCAGTGCAAAGAAAACATCTCGCTCTAGTTTAGCAAAGATGAAAGAGTTCTGACCTGCACCCAGACTTTGCTTTTGATAGAAATGATACCTGTCACCAGAAGCTTTCTGACTAGCCAATGAAAAGTTAGACCTAAAGTGGGTACTTTTTAGAGGTCTCCTGGAAAGAGATGTCCAGCCAAGTCTCATCTTGGCAAAAGAAAAAAACTAACCCAGTAACTTAAAACAATTACAACCACGTGTGGTGGTGTGCACCATTTGAAGCAAAAGGCTAGCAGGAAGAAATAGAAACGTGGAGAGGTAATTTATGGCACCTGTGACGTCCTGTGCCAGGGAAAGCATCGTCGCAGGACTGCTCACTTTCCGGCACCCCCTTTTTAAACCTTCCCCGGCTGCAAGTGGATCATTCATTGCCCTTAAAGTGGACAGCAGGAGCGTCTCCTCCCAGTTAGTCAAATGCATATGAGCCTTGCGAAATTTTAGTAGTCATCCGAAGCACTTGCTTTTAAAGTAGGCTGCTTTATACTTCTTGTTAACTGCCCAGACAAGAGTCAAGGTTTTTTTTTTTAAGTCCTTTTATTAGAAATTTTATGTGTGGTACCGACAATGTGTCCACTGAATTGGCTGTTTTTACCCCCTCAGCCTCGAAGAGGCACTGCTCTTTTTGTAAATGTTTATCAAATCATTTTAATTCTAGAAAATATTTTGGAAGTTTCACTCTGCCAGAGACCTAAAGAACATTTTTCTCCCAATACATCTTAGTTTATTTAAACTTTCTTATTGTTTTGACTCTGATTAAATATGTTAGATGAATGACACTTACATTAAAACTTTAGTAGCAGATTAAAAGCTCAGCTACAAGGAAACATCAGGCTGTGTTTTGAAGGGTAAGATATGGGAATAGATAGGCTTTCAGTTGAAAGTTTTTATAGTTTGTGGACTGATTTCTTAGTGTAGCTCCAGAAAATAAACCAGAATACGAGTATGTTTTGTTAACTACTAAACAAATTTGCTTGCAGTAAGCAAACACCTGATGATCCAGAAAAAGATTTTATTCTTAGAAGAGTAGGTAGAAATAATAGTGACAAAAAGACTAAATATATTTACCTTTCTGTCATCTTGAAAGTGAACTGGAAAGAACCCTTTTGTTTTAAAGGTAAAGTGATAAATTGTTTTAGAAGAATGTTTTAAATTCAGTATAGATGAATACTATATATTAAATGAAGTATTTATTTTTTAGTGTGTATATAATCCTAATGTATAAGAATTTTAGAGTTGAGAAACTTTACTTTTTTTTTCTTTCACTTTCAAGGATAATAGAACAACAAATAATAATTTAATTATTTTGGAAGGTATATATCATATTACTGCGAATGTTAACTTACTAAATCACATTGCAGTTCACTGAACCAAAATATTTTCAAAGCAAAAAATAGATAACTGAATTTTTATGTTCCTTTTTGCCAAAAAGTTTTCAGAAACTATCAATCTTAAAAAACACTACTACTATGTAAGTATTAACATAAAAAAGATATTGACTTATTCTGGAGAAGATACTAAACTAACACTATTAGGTATGCCTTCACTATATGCTGGGCATTTTATACCCCTACATAGTTTAACCCTCACAGCAGACCAATGTGATACAAGTTCTTATTGTCATTTTATAGATTAGTAAACCAATGCTCACATAAGTTAAATAACCTTTCCAGGGTCATACGGTTAGCAGATGACAGAGAGAGGTTTTGTACTCAAGTCAGTCTCCAGAATCTTTTTTCATTATTCTAGCTACCTTTGACAACTTTTAGAACTTGTTGCATTTTTTTAGATGACTTTGGTCTTACTGATGAATCTAGAGCCTTGCAAGTTTATGTGTATTCCGGAGATTTTTCCCCATTCCTATACACAATCAATTCTATAATGGATTAGCTATATTAATTTGTAATTTGTTCTGTGATGGATTGTTGCATATATATTTTATCACATTTACAAATGACATTATTAATCATGATCTATAACTCTGAAGAAGCTTTTCATTATAGAGAATCAGCCTTTCAACATAGACATAAGAGAAATTAAAAAGTTAAAACATCTTTCAAAAAATAGGAGAAAGATGGGATGTAGGCAGACCAAATGATAAACTGAGGGACTTGCCCGATGCCAGACACAGTCCCAGAAAGCGATACCATTTTTGGTCCTCAGCGTCTGCTGCTCATGGGGCTTTGTTCTCTGAGAAGTGGAGAGTTTTCTTTGTACTGAAACACCAATACAGCTTTCATGAGCACTCTCTCACCTATGTAAAAGAGAGGATTTCTCAGTCCTGGAAATACCTCTAGGCCCACCTCAAAGGACCCAGCTCCCCTCTGAGTGGGGAAGAGGAAGAAATGGAATTGGAACTTGGAACGGGAAGGGGACTCATGCAGCTACCTAGCTTAGCTTTGCAGCACCCTTCCAAGCTTCCTGAATATCTCAGAGATCTTTCCTTACTCTCTTAGCATCTCATCTCTGAAGAGACCTGAGCATGGAGAAGGGGCGTGTAGCACATACAGATTTCACCTTTATTTACAGTTCACAAGCACAGTACTCAAGAAAGAAATACAATAAAAGTCCTTAATACATCTTTAGAGTGCCTAGATGAAGAGACTTTTCTTTCAAGGCAGAAATAAAATTTATTGCAAAAATAGGCAAATTGTTTAATTTTTCTCTTGTTCTCTGCTTGATCCTGGCATAAGCCATGTTCTCCAACACACTCTCCACGTCTCCACCCCACCAGCGCAGCATGAGGCCCCAACAACATATGTGCACGTACTCTGACAGTGGGTGGAGATGTTGAGCAAAAGCAAAGAAAAAAAATTGCTTTGGACTGCTGGGGAAAGAGATTTTGGAGTCACTGATATATGTGAGTAAAAGTGAACAAACCAGGCTACTTTCCATGTGCCTGCTATTGTGTTTTCGTTAGCCAAATATACCTTTGGAATTCGTACTAACAGACTTAATAATGCCTTGGTGTTGGGCCATGCACATTATTTCAAATGTTCTGTTTTGAGAATGAGGAAAAAAAAGAACCCCCTCTCTTCCCACTGATTCTAGTTCACGTGTTGGGCCATATTGTCATACCAGATGCATTTCATTTTCTGCAACACAGTTGGAAAAGATGCTTTCTCAATTTGTGTGCATATCAAAAATATGCCAATTTTATGTATTCTGCCTTGACGAGTTACTAAAATTATGTTTTGCTAGGATCAGAAAGTCAGTATTTTAAGATGAAGAGTGAGGAATGAATACGTTGCATTTTTTCAGTGTTTTAACAAAAGCATGTAGTATTTATGAATGCTGAACTTTTATTTTCTTCTCTTTAAATTTGATAAAATTGCTTACACAAAGGAGAAACAATATTTTTGAAAAGAATTAGGAAAAGTATTCAGTGTATGTTAAATGTGTTTTGAAACATAGCAAGAGGGACCTATTCATTGGGATAAGATTCCTAAAACATATCTATAATCCCTGATAAAAAATGGAAACTATTTTCTACAATTAAGTCTATGTGTGAAGTATATCTTGCTATATTATCTGAGCTTTTAAATAAACCCTGTATTTAACAAAATGATTCAAAAACATGACTTGGGTTGATTTTTGCAATTTTTCAGGTGTTTTTACTATTACTTCAAAGAACACAACTTCATCTTAAGGAAGATATAGATTTAAAAATATAATTCCTATTATAAATAACTAAAGTCACTGAAGAAAACTAATAACATCAAATTCAAGTCCCTAAAACAATGTTAGTAGCTTGATACTGGTCTAACTTCAGAAATGACCCCTTTCAGATTAAAAGTGAGAGAGAGTGAATGAGACCTTAGAACGTTTTGGAGCAGGGTGTAAAGTGGAGTTTGATGTGTGATAGCATTCATAAAAAGTGCTGGGATCATCATTTATTCCAAAGAAAGGGAGTAAACGGAATGACATATTTCCCTTTAACTTTTACTTGCTATAATAAGTATCTGGCAAATTTGAGTTGAACTATGAGTCTTGCCTAAATGAGAAGTGTTAACATGTAGATATTATGAGAGATTGGCTTAAAATACAGCAAGTGTTCAATAAACATTAGCAATTGCTGTTGTGCTTGTTATTATTGGAGAGCATATTAAAGTTTTGCAATTGCTGCTATTACAAATAAGTGTGGGGTTAAAAAAAATTAACGGGGTGCTTTGCCAGTCCTTTTTATTTAATTTAGGATGTGAACTATGTTACTTGCAGTGGTGGAAAAAGTAGCTCATGACTCATCAAGGTAGTATTGGTGACATTACAATTTTGTATAGCAATGAAAAAAAATCTTACCTTATTTTTAGCAAGCATGTATGCATTTTCATGAAGAATGAATATGTTATGTTGAGGGAAAAATGTGATTAGCAGATTCATTAAAAAATGAAACAAACATTTTTCTTCCTGTTTCTTTTACCTCATTGTTTGAAAGTGATTTCACAAAAAAAGGTTAATTCATACCTAGGAAACATGTAATATTGTTTCTTTGATTATAATATTATTTAATTATTTACCAACCCTGGCTAGTGGAGTATAAATAATATGTCTGCATAACTATAAGCATTGACAAAATCTGCAGGTTTAGAAGTTAGGTTCATATATATTTTTTCTTCTTGGTCTGTGTATACTTATAATATTGTAGCAGACATCTGCTTTAGGTAAGCAGAAGATAATTATTTGAAACAGAAAGTTCTTTGTTTTAATTTCATTTTTCTATTGGAAAACGTACTAAAAATCAGATATTTCCCTACCTTAGTAAGTCAAGCATCCTAAATAAAATCATTTCTTGATAACTGAGGGTCATTATTTGC